GAGAAAGCCTGCCTTATCAGTGACTACTCTGATATAAGAGTAGCGGGGTTTCAAGGACACCTGCCTTATCATTGACCAATCTAACATTCTTTCAGTGGTAAGAGTAGCAAGGATCCTTGGATACCCGCCTTATTGAGGGMTAGCCAGTGATAAAAGTAATAGGGMAAACCTGCCTTATCAATRACTAGTCTGATATAAGAGTAGCGAGGTTTCAAGGACACCTGCCTTATCATTGATCAACCTAACACTCATTCAGTGGTAAGAGTARCAAGGATCCTTGGACACCCACCTTATTGAGGGCTAGCCAGTGATAAGAGTAGCAGGGAAAACCTGCCTTATCAGTGGCTAGTCGGATATAAGAGTAGCGAGGTTTCAAGGACACCTGCCTTATCAAAGATATTCCTAGCGCTTAGTCTGTGATAAGAATAGCAAGGTTCCTTGGAGACCTGCCTTATTGAGGTCTAGCCAGTGGTAAGAGTAGCAGGGAAAGCCTGCTTTACCAGTGACTAGCCCGATATAAGAGTAGCAGGGTTTCAAGGACACTTTGCCTTATCAGTGGCTAGCCGTGGGTTAAGTCTGCCGCCTGCGTGCTTAAACACTCAAGAGGCGAAGACCCACAAGGTTTGCCTTGTCAAACAAGCTCCAGTCATAAATGGATATATTCGGAATGGTCTGCCATGCCACAACTAACTTTCTTCACACTCAGCATTATTCGATCCTAACTAATTACCTCTGATTCTACTGAGAAGGGATGAGTGATATCTTGCCTCAGAGAGAGACTATCCATTTGTGTGATTTCTTTTCATAAGATTCCTTGCCACGGGTTGGATTGATGATGTGTTCAAGTGTGTTGGGAAAAGGAAGGGAACTCAGATAAGATAATCCGAAAAGGGATATGAATGAGATAGTGAATAAAATATGGAGAGTTACCGTGACAGTAAAAAAGAGAATGAACTATTATTCACTACCGAAGTGGAAGGGCAACAACCCAAACGATTAGTTAAGGATAAGAGTCAGACAGAAGACACAAAGTCTAGAAGGAACTTTCTAAGTTAGGAAGAGAGATGTTAAGTTTCTCTTGAACTGAGTTGTGTCTATAGGTTTCGACACTTCGGAGAACTTACGGGAGAATCTGTAAGAACAACAATTCTGTTATCATTTGCTAACAGGTCGGTAGAACTCTGACTCAACTTCCACCATGGCTTGATACCTACACCTAAGACAAGACCTAAGAAGGGAACAGATAAATCTTCCTCCTGTATCTATGCCTAAATTATCCAAATCACACCCAGAAGTCCTTAAAAATGTGTGGGGCTGGGGTAAAATGAGTCATGGTTAGGAAGGAATGTTGTTTTCAAGGTTTTGAACGTGAGTGGCTTGCTATCAATGGGTTAAAGGTTGACGCTTGTAGCGCATTATGCGTCTGCATCTGTATGCTTGTATGTGGTTTTCTTGCATTTGCACAGGTGTTGGACATTTGTGCTGACTTCTGAATTTGAGATCGTTTGAGATATTCGGACAAAGGGGCATGACAATCATGAAAGTGAGGTCCACCGCTCAGTCAGCGCCCGTGATTTATATATATATATATATATATATATATATATATATATATATATATATATATATATATATATATAAAAGATCGTAGTTGGTCGAGGCTCAGAAAGTCATCTGTCTAGGTTTTCGTTCGAGAGAAAGATGGATTACAAAGTGCTCGACTCTGGCTTCTCATAAGGTCAACAGAAGAAACATAGAGTTATAATCATATCTAGCTAAGGGTTGAAGACTGTCCGAGAAAGCCGCCCTGATTAAATAGTTGGTCCGGGGAGTTAGCACCTCGGGGAACGACATACGGGTCAGTCTTAAGGCGTTCTACCTCGCGTATGCCTATTCTATGACGATCGAGAAAACGCCCTCGGCTGGTCTACCTTTGCGATTGCATGTAAAAACCTTCGCACGTGGGTCAGTAGCTCAGCAGGGATACTCCCACCTAAGGGATGGTGACAGCTCCCGCAGGTGGAGGTATGTTGTACCTCACGGGATCCCTAATCTGTCGTAGGGAGTCGCGAGAGGTATAGCACGCGCGCACGGTTAGAGTTGGTATTGTGTAAAGTGACAAAGAAACTCCTGCGTGACACGGCCGTGAGGTCCGACACAAAAACTACTTTGCGTCTGGGTGTGGGACCGCCGCGCACGACACCGTGGTCTCTCTCCTGTGCAGACTAAGATTCCCCATCCGTCCCATCGAGGGGACAGCGGCAGTTCGATCCGACGTGCTATTCTGACTCTTCAGCAGCGGAAAGTGGATCTCTGCTCAATGTGGCGGAATAAATGTATACATAGACATAGATATAGATGCAAGCGTGTCATTACGAGACCAAGTACGTCGAGGCATATCGCAAAGAGCCTCAGCGACACAAAGCCAGACAAACACACGGACAAGAGAGGGGAGTGACAAGGTGGTAAACAGAGTGTAACGGCGAGTGCAGAGCCAACAGCGCAAAGCAGAGAGGGGGGAAGAGGTTTGTAGAGGACGGTCAGTGGGGTAAGGTAAAGAGGGGAAGCGACAGGCGGCAGACTCGGTCAATCGCCCGGAGCGGAGAAACAAATAAAACGGGTGAACTGTCGGAGAGAGTTGAGTGCAGTGTGCAAACCAAGTACTCTTCTTTGAGGCTTCTCTTCCATAGCTTTCCGTCTTAAGGCTCTGCACGAGTCGTAAGGAGAGGAATCTTCTGAACTGTAACTTTGGTGGTGGTGTCCCAACCCTCCATAGCTCCCTCTAGATTCTCTCTCGACTTCGATTTGGTCTGCTTCCTCGCTCTCGATGTCGCTTCCTAGAGTCCGCTATGTTCCTTTCTGTACGTGCTAACCGGAGCAAAGACTTTGTAATCCAGGTCGTAAATGTCACGGCCGGGTTTGACTCCGGCGCGCCTTCCCAAACCAACGCACTCTGCGTGGGCCACTTTTTTTTTTTTTTTTTTTTTTTTTTTTTTTTGGGGCCACATATCCTGAAATTTCTGCCTGATTCCTTCGCGATGTTCTCGTTGCCGTTTCCACGACACTGGGCCACGATCCACTACTACTCATTCGGACTACTGTTAGACCACGCCAAGCGTGGTGACGCAGCCAGGGCGAGGGGCTTTCTTTTGTTGATGGAGAGGCTCAGCCTAAGAGGTGGACGCCACCGGATGGCGACTTGGAAAAAAAAAAGCGCCCGATCGTTTTGGAGACCCCACCGGTGATGGAAAGCGGTGTGGAAAGCCTCTTTGGAAAGGTTTTCTAGACCCGACCGGTGATGGAAAGGGGTTGCAGAAATGCTGACGGGGTGTTTCTACACGGTCGGCGGTCTGGAAAATCGCTGCCCGATCGCAACATTCCTTTTCCAAACATGGCCCCCAACATAGTAGGGGTGGGCATGTTCTCCGATGGCATCGGAGGGCCAGACAGCATGGTCCACGCGACGGTGGAGGGGACCATTTTTTGGACCTGCACTGCCGCTGCGGACAACCGGTTTGTTGTCGCACGGTTCGCACATGGGTCTCTGGGCCCAGGCGGGTTCCGCGTTCCCGTATTTTTCAAACGGCCCTGCAGCGGTGCACAAAATTTCAAATTCAAAATTTTTCGCGGGGAGAGGACGACGGCCAGCCATGCAGCAGTGACGTACGTCCGCGGGTGTGCATGTCACATATTGCGTTGATGCTTCGAATACACCGGCGTCCTCACCTTCTCCCTCCGCATTTATGGGCGCGCTGCCATGCCGTCGCTGGTGTCGTTGGCTCGTGCAGGCCGTGAGGTGTGTGTGCGGGGTTGTCGATCATGGTGTCGTATTGACACAGTCCGTGAGGTGCATTCCAGTGTTGTCGGAGGTGTGCGGACCGTTTTGTGTGGACGGCGGCGTGGAAGACAACCCGTGCAATGCGTGCATCCTGTGTCGTGTCGTGTTGCGAATCTATAGCCTGCGAACTTGTCGTCGTCGATGGTGCAAGTGACACGGGCCATCGTTCCAAGGTTTTGTGCTTTCCCATCTCCCGTCGTCCGGCTCTCCAGGCAAGGTGTGCGTGTGTCGTCGGCAGACACAGACATCGAGAGACGGGAGGTGGGTTGGGGGGCATGTGGGAACGTGCATTACACTCCACAATCCCTTCCTCGCCATGTACCGGGTCCTCTTCCTCCTTGGCAGGCGTCGACGTGTGAGGACCACCATCAGCGTTTGTGCATGCATGCCGTTGTCATCGACAACCGCTGTTGTGATGGTAGCCGTCGCAAAATCCCGGCTTGGGTTGTCCACACAAGCATCATTGTGGTACTTCTCCTCGTGGGTCGCGCGTTGCTACTCTTCTTGATTTTAGGGTGTGTGGCTGTCCTTTTTTGTTGGTGTCGGTGGAGGTAGTATAAAAGGTGTGTGTGTGTGTGTGTGTGTGTGTGTGTGTGTGTGTGTGTGTGAGAGAGAGAGAGAGAGAGAGAGAGAGAGAGAGAGAGAGAGAGACCTTTTTTATTGGTAGGTGTAGAAGGATGGATTCCAGTCGATGGAGGACAGATCTCTCGGCGGGCAACGATGGGGGATTCCAAACGGAAGACGTTCCCGTTCACGGATCTATGTCCTGCTCTTCGCCATCAACGTCGGTGGTTCAATCCTTCACCGGCCAGTTGTTTGACGGGGGTCGAGGCTTGCCGATCCATATATCACGGGCCCCTGTCCCTACTTCCGCACATCAGCATGCGGCAGGGACACGCGGACGGTTCCCTGGATGGCCGTCTATGCAGAGTATGCTTGCAGGAGCCATGTACATAGGCCATGGTCCCCTTCCGAGTCTGATTGGTGCCGGATACGGCACACCTGCTCTGCATTCCTTTGAGGCCGGCTGCGGATTCGATATTCTGACACAGGACCTGTCGTCCCAGCACAATGTTGACAGGGGCAGCGCGATGAGGAGTGATCGATCGTAGCCCCCGCAGTGCGGGCAGACGTCGCAGCAAGTGAACGGTGCAATGGGCAGCCCGAGTCGACCATCGACCAGACGTATGCCTTGTCATCAGTCGACTTCCATGCGGGATGCACATTGCCAAGAGACCAACCAGGGATGGCGTGCAGGAAACCATTTATCGGGGACATCAGATTTTGATGACGATGCGCATGAAGGTGAAGCGTGCGAAGGTGATGACGACGGTGATGATAAGGGAGATGGAGTGAACATCCCTGTGCAGACTTCAGACAATGTTCGTGGAGACGCAGACAGTGCAAAACATTCCAACCAAGGGCAGACCTTGGATGGACGGGAGGGTGGTCGTCCTCATGACAAGCGCAAGGGCAAAGACAATATTGTGACAAACAAAAAACAAAACGTCCCTTGGACGTTGGAGGAAAGGATCACCATGGCAAAGTTGATGGGGAAGGACGGCGCCCTCATGGCTGACGCGGAGGGTCAACATCAGTTCATGAAGATGAAGGAGCGGTACGCCTGGGTGCACGACCGAATGAAAGACAACGGATTCCGACACAGGACAGCGAAAAATTATCGGAAGAAATGGATGAATATGTTGAGCAAAGCGACGCTAATCCTGGACAAGTGCGAGAATGCGTCTGGCATGCCTTCGTACTTGCCCGTGGAGAAGTGAAAGGAGTTGGAGGTGCCTCTAACCTTTGAGAGACCGCTTTGGGAGGCGATGAAGTGAAAGTTGAATAGACCGTCCATGACCTGTGACAAGACATTGGTGTCCGAGGATTTGACCGGCGGAGGTGGGGAGACAACTCAAAATGACGGTCCCGGGAATCGTGGTTCGGGGAGAAGCGGTTCAGACGGTAGAACGACGAACGATTCCGAGGGTCCATCGAAGAGACGAAGATCGAACAGCGGCAAGGCAAGAGTGGAGGACATGAGTTGCAGGGGGTCGTCGTTGGGGAGGGTGATGGAGGATTCTATAAGGGCGTATTGCGACGGTCTTGACAAGGCCGCCTCCACTCTCGCGAAGGCGACATAAGAAGTCGGCACAACGATCGAGGCGAAAATAGGTGACGTTGCGGACGCCATAAGGGGGGGGAACACTGTACTTGAGATGCTTGTCGGGGTTCTCGCCAGACGGGGGGGTGGGGGAAGGTACGGTGCTGACGGGAGGGGGGATGCAGACCCGTCCTCGCGTTGATGTGTATATATATATATAATATACATATATATATATTTTATATATACGGAAGGACGTGGGAAAGCATCGAACAGAGCGTAGCGCCGGGGAACTACTCCGGCCCAATGCCTACATAAGCTCGGGCAGGGACTGTTGTGTATGAAGGGCAAACCGTGTCGTGTCGGAGGGCACAGTTCCTGCGCGGAATCCGTCGATTGTGGGACGGTATGTTTTTGCTTCTGTGGGCACTGGTGTGGCGTGCACATAGACACACACACATCGAGAGAGAGAGAGAGAGAGAGAGAGAGAGAGAGAGAGAGAGAGAGAGAGAGAGAGAGAGAGAGAGAGAGAGAGAGAATGTCGGACGTTTTGCCGGTAGTCCGCAGATGGGTGGGCGGCAAGGACATCGTCGTCCAAGAGACGAGGCACGAGAGGCGCAAGGAGCTTCATCGAGATATGGAGTGGGGCCCCAACATGGAACTGCGGGAGAGTCGTACTTACTACGCGCTTGTGGATGGTCTCATCGCCATGCAGATCGTAGGAGGGCTGGGGTATGATGGCGAGAATAACCTCATCGTGGTTATCTTATTTGTCAGGAAGTTCTCTGTCATCGTCCCTAACACGTGGCAGATGTCGGCACATGATGTCATTGGCGATGTCGTGAGGTTCCTGGTATCCGCCCTGGCCGAAGAGCACATGGGTGCGATGCAGTGTGTCGCGCGCGACGGTCCCACACCCAGACGTAAATTAATTTTTAGAGTGTCGGACCTCACGGTCGTATCACGCAGGAGTTTTAATAGAGCTGTTTCAGCCAAAGACCAACTCGAACCGTGCCCGCGTGCTATACCTCTCGCGACTCCCTACGACAGGTTACGGATCCCGCGAGGTACAACATACCTCCACCTGCGGGAGCTGTCACCATCCCTTAGGTGGGTGTATCCCTGCTGAGCTATTGACCCACGTGCGAAGGTTTTTACATGCAATCACAGAGGTAGACCAGCCGAGGGCGTTTTCTCGATCGTCGTAGCATAGGTATGCAAAGGTTTTTACATGCAATCGCAGAGGTAGGCCAGCCGAGGGTGTTTTCTAAATCGTCGTAGCATAGGTATACGCGCGGTTGAAAGCCTAAGACTGACCCGTATACACGTCAGGCATCGGGGCGCTGATCTCCCGGACCGACTTATAATTCAGGTCAACTTGATTGACGAACGTATTGCGCATACTACGTTTTGCCTATAAATTGTCTCTATAGGTATGACTCCCAACCTAACTCTTATCTGAAGCATGATCCCCCTAACTCTTGAATCATTAAGGGTTGCATATAAAACATATGCCCACATCGTATCTCTTTAAGAGAATCCTTTAACCATAGCATACATACATGTGAAGTGAGACAAGGCTGAGAAATAAGGCGAGGAGATGTCTTTTACATTTTACACAAACAGAGGCAAACATCAGAATGAACGAAGCTTTGACTTTTGAAAGAGAAACACTCAATAGGCTCTTGGCCTTTCAATCAAACATCATGACCAAAGGTAGGCTCATGGCCTGTCAAATATGCATCAGAATAAAATAATAGGCTCATGGCCTTGCAAATTGTCCTAATCTATTCAGCATCAAGGAGTAGAGTCGAAACATCCAAACCAAATGCACAAAGGTTACGAGTCGATGAAATGTCTAAGTCGAGGCTCGGCATAAGTTCAGCAATGCGAGTTGAGTGAATAGCTCTTGGTTGGTCATCTTACTGACCTGCAGACAAGAGTCAATCACATTACACAATCCTTTAGAGACAACCATTCATTCAATTTCACACACATCACACTTACGCTTTTCCAATCCTGTTAACCAGACATTCCCCTTTTYGACTTAGTCATTCAAGGACCTCTTTTGACCAAACACAGACCCTTTAGATAAATGACCCGAAACAGAAATGCCATTTAGTACAAAGGTTGATGCAAAGTGTCTGTATAGAGGGTGAGTGAGGGTTGAGTTGGATAACCAACCTGTTACCATAAGGCAACAACATGTAGTCTTGTATAGACTCATCATGAGTCTCCTTGATTAAGATGACCTGCAATCACACACAGGTCACAGGGTCTCAATACCTCCCTCACTGTCGCTTTACACGAAGTTCAGCGATGTGAACTTCAATTTTATCGCTGGACTAAGGTATAGTCCGATCAAATGTAAGATGAAGTAAGAAGGCTCCGACAGAAGTCTTCACCTCATACTTACTCAAGCAGTAGGACAACTCAGACATGAGTATCCTACCACTTATTTTAGTCTAACTGGTTTAGACTTAGACAGACCATGGGATGACCCGCGCAGGTTACCCCACTTCTAGTCTGTCAACCTAACTATCTGAGATATGTACACATGTAGAGACGAGTAATAGGATGTTCCTCACCTGGAGCCTTATCTTGTCACTCGTCCTACATCCATACATCAATCTATCTGCACTCACTCCTGCTCTAGGCCAGCGTGCGCGAACCTAGGCAGTGGCTCTAGCTAGGTAATGGACTCACATGCACATGTCTGATTGTGTCACCAATCAGACCAGAACAAACAGTGTAGGTAATGAAGTAAACACAAATAATAATAAATAATAATAATAACATAATAAATAATAATAATAATAATAATAATAATAATAATAATAATAATATAATGCAAGTAATATGAGTAAGTGCGGTACACAGAGGACTAAGTTGCAATTAATCATGCAGAAGTCCAAATAGTCATGTAACTAGCAGAGGACGGAAATGTACCAAGGTTTCATCCTCAAGTCATAATAATGCAGTATACAATGAACCTGTGAGTCGATATTCAAACCCTCAGGTCACATTAATGCAGTATCCAATGTCACTTTTCTCTGTCAGGCGCCCAACCTACACTGCATGCCTATTTTACTGTCGCGCATCCATGCAACATGCTTACTTATTTTTTGGAGACCGATGTACATGACGTCAATACTAATGCCGACCTCACACAAACACGAGGTACGTACTTTGTCTCCCCTCACTGCCCTTGTCTGTTCATTTGTCGATGTCTGTTTGTCTGTTTGTTGCTGCCTGTCGGTCTGTTAGTCTGTTTGTTTGTATGGTTATTGGTCTGTCGGTCTGTGCCCTTTTATCTGTTTGTATGCAGGTACCCAGATAGTATTAGAACCAAACGGAAGTCACACTGTACACAGTCCAGGCCCTTAGCAGAGAGTCAAACTGTATGACTGTGGGTAGGGGACCCGGGACCAGTCATCCTTGTCTGTTGCATAAGGCTGGGCCTCCGGGTGATCAACATTCAGTCTTGCTATGTTGCCTTAACGTTGGCTTGACGCTGGCTGTGCGCTGGTACTGCGGACGACGCGGGACTGTGGCGCGGGACTGTGGCAGCATGCTGGCGCTGTATATTCTGTGCGCCAGGCATTGATGATGTGGCGCATCCAATTGATCCACATTGCTGATGTGGCGCATGCCATCAGTCTATAGTGCTGAAGCGGCGCAGCCACTTGCCTACATTGCTGATGTGGCCCCTGCCACCCGTCTCTACTGCTGACGTGCTATTGCCACTAGTTTTAGTTGCTGTGGCGCTGACCACTAGTCTGCAAAGCAAATGTGGCGTTGCCACTGGTCTGCATTGCTGTTGTAGTGCAGGTCACCTGTTGCCACTGCTGCGGTGATGCTGCCGCCTGTCTCTTCTGTTGTCGTGACATTGGCCATGTTATCTACCTACGGTTGTGGCGCATGCCACCTGTCTCTACCGCTGATGTGGCATTGCCACTAGTTTCAGCTGGCGCACACCATATGTCCGCCGTGCTGATGTGGTGCATCTCACTGATCTACATTCCTGTTGTAGTGCAGGTCACCTGTTGCCACTGTTGCGGTGATGCTGCCGCCTGTCTCTTCCGTTATCGTGACATTGGCCATGCTGTCTACCTACGACTGTGGCGCATGCCAATTGTCTCTACTGCTGATGTGGCATTGCCACTAGTTGCACCTGTTGTGGCGCACGTCATATGTCTGTCGTGCTGCTATGGTGCATCCCACTGATCTACATTGTTGATGTCGCGCACACCACCTGTCTACACTGTTGTAATGGCGCAGGCCACGCTGCCTACATGTTGATGCGGTGCAGGCCACTCGTTCATACTGCTGATGGGGCTTGCCACTTGTCTACACAGCTGCTGTGGCACTGCCGCCTGTCTGCTGCTGACGTGGCATTGGCCATGTTGTCTACATGATGATGTGGCGCATGACAGTTGCCTACATTGTTGAGGTGGCATTGCCACGCTGTCTGCAGTGCTGAGTTGGCACCCCTCTTGTCTACACTGTTGTGGCACTGCCGCTTGTCTGCTGCTGACGCGACATTGGCCATGATGTGTACGGCGCTGTTGTGGCTCATGCCACTGATCTACACTGCCTTCTTCGTCTATTTATTACGAGACATTGTATCAGATATCACTTCCCCGGTTACGGAAGATACTACACAGATCTGAGTCTACCTGTAGTACAACACCTAACGAGTAGCTTTCTGTCTGGGTTTTTCACAACAATCATCAAAAACAACAACAATAATAATAATAATA